TCGTTAGACCACTGACCTCGCATCCCTACAAAGCCGGGACGGAGCACGCCGGTGGGGGGGGGGCTGGATGCCCTCGGCGCTTTTGGATCACTATGGACCAGGTTATGGAACGTTTTGGACCCTTGACGACCCTCTGTCGCACTAGGAGTCTTTTCAACGAGACGGGATGGGGCGTCACTGAGGATGTGCCCCCCTGCACCGCGCTCAGCCCCCCACTCACAGGCAACGTGGTCATGTGGTCCCTTCCCCGCCCTCCACCATTTACCCTTCCTGCTCTTCTGCCAAGCCCCTGGCGTCGACTCCGCCCTTCAACAAACAACATCTGTTAGCCGTACCACATGAGACAAGAAGTAATGGCTTGGTGTGAGATGCGAGCCATGCCAAGCCCTAAGGTACACAGTCGTAGCCATACACCCGCAACCCTTGCTCTTTCCGTCTGCCGTTTTAGGAGCCTGCAAGACCTCTTGCACGAGGCTGACCTGAAGGTCAACACCACCTGCGTCACTTTTTTTGCGCATTTCCGAATGCCCACCCCCACCATTTGTGTTTTTCCCGCCACCCTGCAACCACCGTTTTTTGGCGACTGACTGACTGGCTGTGTCGACGGGCGCGGTGCTGTGATACTGTCAGGGTGGAAGCTCTGGAAGCAGCTCTGGAGAAGCTGGCGGAGGCTGGATCAGAGGCCGAGGCGCTGTCGAAAGAGCAGCTCGAGATCACCAGACAGGTAGGTGGTGGTGATGTTGTTTTCGAGTGAAACGCGCCCATTACTGAGTGCTGCTTGTTTTTTTTGTTGCAGCAAGTCATATAGTCTATCCATGTATTCGTGCACAGGACACGGCACAACTTTTCCCGCTAGTTATAGTTACGAAGAACATGGCGTATCATTAAACGGGTTCTAGTTTTTCGCGTTTGGGCGATGTCGTGATGCGTGCACGATAGATTTCATTTTTTTTTCATTGCTTCGTCCAGTGGTTGCTGATGCTGACGAACTACAGACTATGAACGTGTCACATTCAAATCCCACACGCCTGTCGTTGTTGTTTGTATCGTAGCCACCGTTAATCCCGTGTGGGGTTGCCGGTTAACAGTTACTTCACACATTTCGAAGGACAAGCCCATTCCCGGGGTGATGTACTCAGTGTGTGGAAACAATGACTCTTTTTGCACACTTCTTGAAGAGCGGGCGACGTGAGAATTGCGGATGAATGTCTTTTTTGGGAACGTGTTCCGGCTCGGTTGATCACGGACCGCCCTCTTCTCTCCTATCCTCTCCTCTCCGCCTTTCCGCTTCTCTCTCTCTCTCTCGCCTTCTGCCCCGGGTTCAAAATAGCTGTCGGCCGAGCGCGACGAGCTGGTGGAGGAGAACGAGAGGTCGTCCACCAGGCTGGACCAGCTCACGACAGCCCTGCAGGAGCAGAGGGAAGAAAAGGGACGCCTCACAAACCAGGTAGGCGGGGATAGGGGATGTACATAGGGTGAGAACCTTTTATTGTCTTGTTTATCTCCAAATCAGGTACAGCAAGCAGAGGCTAAAAACGCTTCTACCCTTTTCTGTTTCAACTGCTGCATGTATGCTGTCTTATTTTTCTCCAATCAGGTACAGCAAGCAGAGGCTAAGCACGCTTCCTTCCTTAGTGTTAGGGTTTCTGTTTCAACCGCTGCATGTGTGCATACTGTACATGCTGATGCCTTGTTCTTGTCGCACCTTCTTTTTTACCGGTATCGTCTTCTGTAGGTATACCGCAAGGTTGCGAGTCAGCGCACAGGGGTGCGAACGGTTTTTCAGAGCGAAATTTCTCCACGACCAGGAGGTTACAATGTTGCCGAACAGAGCGGTTTTGGAAACATCTCATCGAGAGATTTCCCGAGAAGCACCGGTTGGCGCTCGCACCTTTCTGGTTGTGGAGAAATTGCGCTTTGGAAATCGATCGCACCCCCTGTACGCTGACTCGCAACCTTACGGTACCTTTCCCGTGCCGACTTGCGCAGGTACAGTACACCTTTCTTCCGCGCCTGGCACATGCACACCACCCCCGCCGCGCGTTTTGTTTTGTTCCAGCTGCTCGTCCGAGTTGTTTTTGTCCTGCTACTCGCGGGAGGGCTTTGCCCTCGAGCACTGATCAACGACAACGATGATTGTTTTCCCCGCCGGCCGCGGGTGGCGCGGTGCAGTTGCTGGACCGCGAGCGTGGGCTGGAGGCGCTGCGAGCACAGGGCGACGTCGAGAGGGTCAAGGCGGCGAGGCTGCAGGAAGAGGTGAAACATAAAAAAAAAAAGCAGAGAAAAATGAGGGAAAGGAAAGCGGGAGAGAAGCAGCTTCCAAATTCCGTGGTCTACTCTGCACTATTATTTGTGGATCGTCTCTATCCCGCTCACGGGTTCATAACTCTTTGCCATCGATCGGTCCAGAGACAGGGAGGGAGGCAGGGAGGGATTGATGACTCGAGCCTTTTTCGTCGATTGCTCTACAAGGTTGCCTGCGTTCTTTGGACTTGGCGACGATACTGCACCTGCGGGGGCCGGAATCGCCGTGCCAACGAATTATCCAGCGTTGCGGTTCGGCTCGTGAAAGGGGGTCGATATCGGCAGTTGGCTCGATACCCCATGCTTCTCTCCGACGACGATGATGGATGAACGGCGTATTTCTCTCTGTGCTGTCGCATTGCCCTCGTGAACGTGATTGTGAACGGGATCCCTTGAGATCTCGTCCTCCGCCCGCCTTGACGTGTCAGAGGGAAGACAGATCCGAGAGAGTTTTGTGTCTTGCTCGCTGCCTCCCCCCCCCCTTCTTCTCACCTCCCGTTGTTGTTCCTGTCGTGGTGGTCGTTCTCGTTGTTCTCGCTCTTTTTTGCTGTCTTCCTACTGCTGCTGCTGCTGCTGCTGCTACTGCTGCTGCTGCTGCTGCTGGCCGAACGCCCGCTGAAGGTCGGCAAGGCCCAGGAAGTCTGCCGGGAAATGAGCGACCGGCTCTTGGAGCTGCAAGCGACACAGGTGAGAGGTGTTTCGTATCCTTGCACAAGACAGCACTACGAATTCATCCCGAACACAAGCACCACAAAACATGTTGCAATTTCTTTTCGCCGATTGCTCTCGCATCATTTCACCTCACCCTCACTCTGTGGGTGCATACATACCCGTGCTTCCCCTTAGGAAATTATAGACGGCGCCTTTCGCCCGTCACTCACAAGTGTTTTTTTTTTCACAGCAAGACGCGAGATGCCTTTCACCCGTCACAGGCATTTTTCTTCACAGCAAGACGCATGCATCATCACACGCCCGCCCCCCCGCGCGCGCGCGCGCCCACAGGACGAGCTGAGAGATACCCGACAAGGCCTCGATCAGGCCTCCCAGGACTTGGAAACCCTCCGTCGGTCCCAGGACAACCTCGCGGGGGGATGGGACGAGGCGGCCCGGCTACGTGAGCGGCTGGCCGAGGCGGAAGAGCTGTGTGCCGAGCTGTCCGCGAGAGCCGACGCTGCGGAGCCCCTGGCCGAGGAAGAGAGGTGAGAGGGGGGGGGGGGGTATGTAGCGGTTGACTCAAGGATTTTGTGTGTGTGAGAGATGTAGCGGAGGATGAGAGGTTGGTATATGGTCGTCGGCTCATTTTTTTTTTGTTTTTTTTGTGAAGCAGTTGGCGGAAAGGGGAGTATTTCGTGGTGTCCCGTTCTTCGTTTTGGTGAGAGTTTCTCTTTCGCGACCGATAAGCTCCGAACGAACTGTGGCCGCTGGCCGAGGAAGAGACGTGAGAGGGGGGTTCGTGGAGGGGAAGCGGTGGGTGTGTTGTCGTAGACTCAGGGTTTTAGTGTTTGTGAAAATAACATTCTGTGGAAGCGGGTGTTTTTGCGGTGTACATCCCCTGCTTAGTTTTTGGTGAGGTTTTTCTCTCGTGACCAATACACACGCTCAAAGGCGAACTGTTGACATAGATAACCCCCCCTCCTCCTTCCTTCAACGGACGGCGGCTATCACGCACGTCTCAGTGTCAGCGACGGCGACGTCCGCGATGGCTTGTCCTTAGCAGTCGTCCAGATACTATCAAGCTCTTCGGAGGGGATGGATGACCAAGCAGACTTGAGTACATCCCTTTTTACCATGACCCCGACCCCCGCGGCTTGTGTGCATGTCTCAACCTCCTGCGTGCGAGTGCAGTCGGCGAGCGAGGCATTTGGAGGCCAGAGTGAATGCTCTGCAGCGCCAGCTTGACGAGGTACGTGCGGCTCGTTGCTTGCGCCGCCATGGACTTTGCACCCTTTTTTTTCCCAACCAATAGATGGGGCGTTTTGAACCCCTTGTTCTGGCGCAACTACGTAACCGCCCACTCCTAAAAAAATTACCACGAAATATTGTTCGACCTCTCTCTCCGGAATGTGATGATGACTTTGTCCCATGGCAACGTACTAGCACGATGGTGCTGTGAGGCACTAGGGCTTGGATCCACGTCCGGGCGTTGTTGTCGACCTCAACGTGAATGCCCGGATGATGTTTCGACGCATATATATGCGTAGATTTGGAGGGCCTTTGGGTGTGATTGTTGGCTAAGACACGATGCATACACTCAGCGAAGAACATATTCCCCTGGAGGCATGGGTTTGGCATGTCGTGCACTCCCCCCCCCCCCCCCCCCCCCCCCCCCCCCCCGTTGGGCAGAATGGGCTTTCCCCCCCCTCCGGGGGAAAAAACCATGGAACATCCCTTTGTGGTTCCCGCCCCGGGCCTCTCCTTGGTTCCCCGCGACCCCCCCCCCCCCCCAGGAAAAGGGCCCATTGTATTTTTGGGGGCGCCCCCCGAAAAAAAGGGCCCCCCCGGGGGGTTGAAAAAAGAAAAAA